GCACCCCCAAAGTGTCTAGCAAAATGCCCTTTTATTCTTGAGGAGTGCTCTTTATTTGAGGCGTCCTTCTCCCTGCTGCCGAGTTTGGAGTGGAATCTCATGGGAGGATGTGACCTCACACCCATGACTTCCTCCACCCACTACCCGCAGGAGAGCTCTCTAGGACTCGCTGAAAACCAGCTTAATTGTCACCGTGTTTTGGAGGACGTGACACTGAGTCTCTTTTTTATAACATCCCAAGGGCTTTCCCTGCCCCCTAATTTTACTCATAAATGCCCTCTGCAGTGGCGGGTGGGGGCTAACTCGCCCATTTTAACATCGAAAACTGAGCCTTTGAGTCGGGTGTAAAGTTAGGACTAAAACTCGGGGCTCCCAACTCCCTGGAGCCTTTTGAAGGTTACAAGTCCGGCTTTTATGTTATTCCCCCCAGAATAACTGCCTCTCCATTCCTTCAACAGGACTAGTGGTGGTGAATCACTACCTAGCATTTCAGTTTTTTGCAGAGGAATATTATCCTTTCTCAGAGGTAAGGAGCGTTTCGTACATCAAACTATTAACAGGGACAGAAGGATAAAGGGGACTTGCAAGATTTTGAACCTAGCTGTGATTTGAAACTGCGCCCATTGAGGGATAACGCATTGTTTAAACTTAGTAGAGATGATCTCAGGAAGCAGCGTGGGAGAGGAGCAGAGATCCCTTCGGCTGAGATGGGGAGACAGTGCTCTCCCCTAGTGAGTCCTTTGGGTCTCCCAGGATCCCAACCTAACACCCAGAGGTCAGGGTCAGTGGAGTGGCCTTGTGTGATGGGTTGGGTGGGCTGCAGCCCGGACCCTGGTTCCCCCCAGCACCCTGCCAAGGCCTTCTCCACACCCTGCCACTGCAGTCTGGACCCTTGGGAAGAACAAGACCGCTTCTTTGGGGACTGTGGGTCAGAGAAGTTCCTTGTCCTAGCGACCAATAATTGGGGATTGTGGCTACATGAGTCATCTTCAGCCTGCACCTTCCCCACTGTCCTATCTCCATGTCCGAGGATGTCCTGTCTCTGCTTCCCAGGCCCTGGCCCCCTTCAGAGACCAGGTGTGGGGGCTTCTGTGCCGGCTTGACCACCTCTCAGATACAGCGTGGCCAGGCCCCGCCCACCCTTGGCGCCTCCGGGGGCACCCTCTTCTCAGTGTCTCTCGTTGCTAGGTCCTGGCCTATTTCACTTTCTGTCTGTGGATAATCCCGTTCGCGTTCTTCGTGTCACTGTCGGCTGGGGAGAACGTCCTGCCCTCCACCGTGCAGCCAGGAGGTGAGAGGGCTTTGTGCGGGGTCTCGGTGGGAGGACGCCAGCAAGGCCTGAGCTGGCAGGGGGAGCCGGAGCCCAGCCCTGTGACCGAGACACTTGGGTTTCAGGTGGAGAGAGCTGTGCTCACTTTCAGACACACACACACACACACACACACTCATCTCCCTGCATGTGTCTCCACAGATGACGTGGTCTCCAATTACTTCACCAAAGGCAAGCGGGGCAAACGCTTAGGGATCCTGGTTGTCTTCTCCTTCATCAAAGAGGCCATTCTACCCAGTCGTCAGAAGATGTACTGACGCCCCTGGGGAGGGGATGTTGGGGCGAGATCAGGAGAGTCAGGCCCCTGGGCCTCTCTGTGAGCCTGGAAGGTTCCTTCCCCCAGCCCTGGCCTGACTTCCTTCAAGTCTCCCTGGAGCCTCCATCCCCACCTTCCTCGGGATGCGCAGCTGGGCTCAGATCTGCTGCTGCTAGAGGCCATGACCTCAGGGGCACCAGGGAGGGTGGCGGAGCCTGCTTGGCTGGAGGCCGTGGTCCACCTGGCTCTGTGGAAGCTGAGCTCCCCGTGGCCCTGCCCGCCCCTTCCATGCTGGGTCAGGAGGCTCTGGCTCAGTCGAGGCGGGCAGGGCAGGGGCCTTGAAGCTGGAGAGCAGACAGGGATAGGGTCTTCGGGCAGATGGCCATGGGGCAGGGCCATGGCTTGGCAATTCCCAGGAAATAGTTTTTGCTGTTGAACTGTGATTTCTGTCCAAGTCTGATTCCTGTTTGAATAAAGATTCTAGGTGGCACTTGTTGCCTTAATACCCTGAAAGTTCATCTTCCTTTCTTCCTGCTGACCTTCTGCCCTGGCCTGGATGGGCTTTTCGGCTGCAGGGGTTCCTTTTCTGGGATTGGGCCTTGCCTTTCTGAAGGGACTGTTCTTATGTCCCTTAGTGGGAAGGGGGCAGGATGAAGAGCTGAGCCTGGTTAGGGGGTGGGGAGTGGCAGGTGGATGCAGCCTTTCTTATGCCCTCCCACCCACACCCCCCGTCTTTTCTTCAATCTCTTCTTTCCCCAAGGCTCCGTGACTGTCAGGCGGGGGGCAGAGAGAGAGCAGTTTGGGACTGGGTTAGATTTTCAGAGCAACTTCTACAATACCCTATTTATAAGTCTTCCCCTGGAGAAAAGGAGTGGTTTCTGGCAGAATTCTATGTCAGGCTCAAGGAGAAACCTAACTTGATTGCCAGCAGTCTGGGCTATGGCCTGTTTTGTAAGAAATAGGCCTGGTGGAGGAAGCTGTGTGTCCCTGAGAGCACACGGGCTGGCCCCCTTTCCTGTGTGCTCGGCTCCTGAGGAGATGACCTTAGGCCTCTAAGCAGGCAGGCGAGGTCCCGGGCACAGACCAGCATTTGTTAACCTTGCACTCCAACTACAGTGCCTTGCAGATACTCAGCACTACATAGCGGAATGAAGTCCCCATGAGAGCCATTACTGGCCATGTCGTATACCTCACAGCGAGGATAGCAGGTGCAGCGATGGGCTGCACACATGTAGTATCTTTAAGTCCCTGTGCTGAACATCTTTCCTCCACATCCTGCAAGTCCCACAGTAGCCCTTCCCTTCCTTGGCTCTAGCATTTCCTGTTCTCTTAACAATACCAGCCTTCCCCTTTCCCTGGGAGGAGCAGCACACGTGGGTCTTCTCTCAACGGGAGCCAACATCCCTCACTGCTGGGCCAGTGCTCTCCCTCCCTGTCCTCTTCTTTGTTCCTCACCCCGAGGACGCGGCTTCACCTCCTCCATGCGCTCCACTGTCAGTGCTCTCGCGGGGTTGCCAGTGGTCTTTTTGTGAAATCCAGTGAACCCTTTCCGCCCCTTACTGGGTCTCTGCAGCATCTGACAGGGCTGACCACCCCAGCTCCTTGAATCGCACTTGTATGGCCATTTCTCCTCCTACCTCTGTGGCTTCTTCCGGTGCCCTATGCAGGCTTCTCCACGCGCCCTACAGTGGGGTTTCTCAGGGTCCTGTCCTGGGCTCCCAGGAGGAGCCCATCCATGCTCATGGCTTTGACTCTGCCAAGGAAGTAAGAGTTGACTTCCAGCCCCAACACCCCTCCTGGGCTTCTGAACCGGTTCTGCTGCCTTTGGGCGCACAAGCTCCTCTCACAGCCCAGCCGCACTTGCTGCCCTCTGCAAACCTGCCTCTTTTGGGCACCTGCTGTGGCCCCGAGAGCACTCAGGAGCCAAACCAGAAACCTGCTTTCTATCCCTGCTTTCTCCTTTTGCCCCCCACATCCAGTCTCTCAAAACTGTCAAGTTTGCCTCCTTAACATCTCTTGATGAGAGTAGAGCCACTCCCACCGTCATCAACTTTCACCTGGGTTATTGTGACAGCCGCCTCCGGCTTCTAGGTCCCACAGCTAGAGTTGTCTTTCTAAAATGCACAGTTGATCACGTCACTTCCTGGCCTGCACCCTCCCATGGCTCCCCTCTGCCTTCAGGACAAAATCCAGACCCTTAGCACGGCTTTGAGACATGTATCCTGCTTCCTGCTCGCCTCTCTGGCCTCATCACGTGCAACCTCGCACTCTGGGTCCTGGCCTCCTGTATCCAGAGATGCCACTTTTCTTCCCCTTCTATTCACCAGGGCATCTTCTCTGTTAGTTCTCCACTTAAGATTTTACTTCGTCCAAGGAGCTTTTAACGTCCCCTCCCCCTGCCCACTCCAGCACACCACACACATCACGGTGGGCTCACTTGCCTGTGTACTGGTCCATCTCCTCACTAGACTGTAAGCTCCTTGAGGGCAGGGACTGTCCTTCAATTTTTGTATCAACAGCGCCTAGCTTGGTGCCTGGCACATGGAAAGCACTCAATAAACGTTTGTTTAATGAATGATTTGTAGTGATGTGTACAGCGGACAGCAGGGGGTGCAGGCTAGCTTCCTGGAGGAAGTACAAGTGCTTTCATAGTCTCAAACTAAAGCCATGGGTCCTTCCTTCCTCCCTCCCCCACACATGCCCCTGTGCCTCCCTGCCCTGCAGAAACCACGGTGGCAGGGAAGCCATGGCAGGGTGACACGTTAGCCGTCTTCCACCCCATTCTGGCTCTGGAGGTGAAGCATGAGGCCCGGAGTCTGTAGTAGAAGGACTTAGTCTGAACAAGAGGCAGACTTCCCAGTGGTTCCTCAGCCTGTCCCTGCTGGGCTGTTTGGAGGGTGGTGGGAGCAAAGGGGACACCAAAATGTGACTTTTACAAAGCCAGAGCCTAGGATACAGACTGACCCCACTCTGAGCTCTGGGCTGCTGCCCTAATTTGAATCTCTCAGGTGAGTCTCCAAGGATCCGGGCTTTTGCTGGGGGGCAGGGGCTCTGACCCTTCATCTTGGGAATGGGAAGCCTGTGGGCACTCCTTCCCTTGTTCCCTGTCCGCAACATAAATGACCACACCTCAGCCTTCACTAGCCTGCCGCAGCTCCAGAGGCTACCGAAATAGGTT